CGGTTAAGACCAACCTCTTCAATATAAAAATTTTATTCTAGAAATTATTTAGAAGGTGACTTCAAATATAGTCATAAAAACACACATTTCCAATTACTACTACTATAACTAAAAATTATACTGTATCTAAGCGATCCCCTAAAATATTAAAATAAATCCCTTCTAACCAAATTGATTACAGATTTACTTGTGTAAATTTGGATGGGTGGTTGGGAGTGCCAAGGAGACCGTCATCTTCGTAATTTGAATTTAAAAAAATATATATGTATATGTATTCCTGATATAATTTAAAATAAATAATAGGTCAGGCATGTTGGCTCATTCCTATAATCCCAGCACTTTCGGAGGCCAAGGCGAGCAGATTACCTGAGGTCAGGAGTTTGAGACCAGCATGGCCAACATGACAAAACCCAGTTTCTACTAAAAATTAGCCTGGCCTGGTAGTGTATGCCTGTAGTACCAGCTACTCAGGAGGCTGAGGCAGGAGAATCGCTTGAACCGAGGAGATGGAGGTTGCAGTGAGCCAAGATTGCACCACTGCACTCCAGCCTGGGCAACACAGCGAGACTCTGTCTCCAAAAATAATAATAATAAAATAAAAATAAATAAATGATAAATATTAGTCATTCATGGGCAGTTTAGAAGATGACCTCTAAGTTCCCTTCACGTCTAAAAATTCCAACAATTCATAGTAACGAAGACTAAACTGAGTGAGAGTTACATGGCCCTTCCTCAGCATTCAAAATCAAAGGCTTCCTCCTTCTGTAACGTCAGCACCATGACTAAGTTGACTAACCAAATACTGTATTTCAGTTGACTTATTTTTAAAATCTTAACAGATTTACAAACAAGATGATTTTAAAGTAAACCATATTGAATTATTTACAAACTCATGCCTGGACCAAATATTCCTAATCTACAGTCAGTGAATGAGCTCAGGGCTGTGAAGCCTTGCACTGGAAGTGCACTCTGTGCTGGCGTGCTTTCTTCTTCTTTCAGGGAAAAGGGTCTACGGCTTTCGTCAGAATTTTAAAGGTGTCTGTGACCCTCAAAAGGCAAAGAAACACAAATTTTAAATGTCTTTTTTTCCATTCAATATCGCAAACATGACTATGAGGAAAACGTATATTTTATGTCCTTATGTTAAAAGCAAATTGTGTAAAGGTGCTAAAATACATATGTACTACATATATAAATAATTTCCCCAGTGGCAATAAACACTTGGTTGTTACAATCTCAGCGTATTAAGTCCAAATAGGATTCATCTAAAAATTAAATTAAATTAAAATGCAGTGTTGGTTTTTGCCTGGTCTAACTGAGTGGACTTCCTAAGGAGAAAGAGCAGTAAAAGGGCACCTGTGTGCATGTTTGACCCACGGCCAAAAATAGTGTTTATGGAAAACTTCAGATGGAGCAAAGAGGCACTCAGCCAACAAAATCTACAGCTGTGAGACTTGGAGCTTACAACTGCCCAATCTCCACAAGCAAAAGTGGAATTATGGGACAGACTTTGAAGCTTGTTTATGTACAAATTTTTTAAGGAGTGACTTTGTATTACTCTATTCAGATATATATTCTCTGATCAACACCAAAAAAATATTCTAATACCAGAGTAAACGGTGAAAGGGCATCCCACCCAAGTGTTGATATTTACCACCCTTCTCCCCTACAATTACTTATAAACAAAACTCACGGTGGCTAGGACAGAGCAGTTTAAATTCTATACCAAGAGAGTTACAACTTTCTCCCTGAGGAATAAATAACCTGCTCAGCTGGTTAATATGAGTCCTGAAAAAACAGTAGAGACTGTAGAAGCTGCCGTGTATCAGAATCTCAGAAAAAGGTCCTCAGGCCATTTGAATATGTACCATAACCCTACAGCCCTCATGCTCAGCTGTCTGCTGGTACACACCCAGAGGCTGCCTGAAATCTGTGGGAAGGCAATTAGTAGTTGGCTTGGACATGTGGAAATGGAAAGAGACTACACATCTTCAAAAGAAAGCTAAGTACACTATGTAAGCAAGAACATGGAGACCAGGGCTAAAGTTTTAAAGCTGTGAGATTACCTATTTACATAGGCCAGAAATCGCACTCCAACTGAAGATGTTATTGTTCTCAAGAAAAATGTGATACATTTATAGATATACAGTGAATTATTTCAGTCGGAAAGAAAATCAAATGTCTTTAGGGACAGAGGACTAGATTTAATATAGAATAATTTACCTGGTCTTGGTACCTTGCTTAATTTAATCATTATAATTTTGGAGACACAATCCATCAATCTATGAACAGGTATTTAGCATTTATGTTCATTCACAGAAGAAATGTTTTAGAGCCATCTCCAATTACCTTACTGTAAAACAGCTACAACAGAAATAACAAATTGTCTAGATGGGAAGGACCATGAGTTTTTGGGTGAAGGTGGCATATCATCTGTGCCAATATCCGTGTCATCTCAGTGAAGGAGCCCCAGGAAACACCACCCCAAAATATGCTGCTTTGGTATGCTCATTACTGCAAACTGAGAGAACTTGAGGAGCAGCAAGTACAGGGAGGGGCCTTCTCTGATGCCCCTTGAACTCAAAAAATGCCTTTGTCCCCTCCCTAGAAGTTCATCAATCAGGGAAGATTAACCTTATCACATAAGAGATTAAAAGGTCCAGTAACAACCTTCCTCAAGTTAATTTTTAATACCTGAAAGACTTTGTCTCAACTTGACGACTTTTGTTCATCATATATTTCCTCCCCTCATTTTCCCATAGCGTGTCAATACCTTACCCCAGGACCTCCATATCCCTATTCCAATGCTATAAGAACTTCAATTATCTGGTCCTTCCTCGAGTCTCACGTTTTGTGGGACTCTTGTGCATAAGCACGTAAACTGTTTTTCTTCTGTTAAGTCTACCTACTGTTGGTTTATATTTTGGACTCAATTATTCAAACCTTCAAAAGGAAGAGAGAAGGTCTTCTCTTTCCCCTACACCAGCTAACCTGGTAACTTCAACCAGAAATGACTTTAAGTGCTCAGGCTATTGTAATGGGAGTGCTATGCTCCTGAGTGGGCACTTCAGAGCTGGTCTATAATATTCACAGTTAGCAGTTAGGAATCACTGTTTATAGACCATAGCAAGACTTTCAAATTGTAGAAATCCAGAAATTAGAAAGCTTCACTTAAAGACATTTCCTTCTTAATTGAAGATCATTTTGCCAAATCATTTTTGTCTCAATATATTGAAACCAAGTATACTATGGAAAAAGACTTTTAAGTTTAATAAAATCCTTATCTGTCTTGCCCACTATAATGTGTATTCTCAGGTCAGGTGAAGTGGCTCATGCCTGTAATCCCAGGACTTTGGGAGGCTGCACTGAGAGAACAGCTTGAGCCCAGGAGTTCAAGACCAGCCTAGACAACACAGCAAGACCCTGCCTCTACAAAAAATAAAAAATTAGCCAGATGTGGTGGCATTACTACAGGGGTGGGGGATTAGGTGGGAGGATCACTTGAGCCTGGGAGGTCGAGGCTGCAGTGAGCTGTGATCACACCACTGCACTCCAGCCTGGGTGACACAGCAAGACTCTATGTCTAAAAAAATGAAAATAAAAAATATATAATGTATATTCAAAACACATGACAGATACACTCAAGTGCTTCTGCTTCCTATAAGCAGGATTATGCTATACTTGTTCTAGTATTTTTTTGTTGTGTTGTTCTGTTTTTCTTCAATTAGTTAGCTGGGAATTGATATACATTGTAATTTCTACCAGTGCAAGCAGGGAATGAGCATCACACCACAAATCCCTTCTTTATACTTTACCTTCCCTAGTTCTGAAGGTCAGTATTTCTAAATGCTGTGTCTGAACTTGTGTTGAAGTATTTGGTATTAATAAAACAAAGAAGGAATTAATATATTTTTTAAATTGGGGGGGGCGGGACGGAGAGGATTCTACAAAGGCGGATTTCACTTTCTAAGTAGCATTATATTAGTCTACATTAATAATTTTCCCAGCAGGCCTTCCAAGATTTTACTTTGAACAATCACAGTCTTTGTTTCTCAGATCCTCTTACATGTGATCTGAGGTCTGGTCAAAGTTTTAAAATCAGCAGCTAACGGAGGAGGAGAAAAGTACTGTTCACTAAGGCATTGCACAAAGCCATACCACAGCACGTTTCAGGATTCTGACAAGCTGGATCACATTTTCCAGCTAAACGCTATTTCAGTGTTGTGTTACATTTTCTGTACATTGTACACTATGTTTTATTAATACTATACTTCATCACACTGATCAGGGAAACATCTCCTAAACATCACTAAAATAAGCCGTAAGAAAATTCTTCAGTTCTTTCACACAGGTGTGTATTTTTTAAAGTGTCAGGTGCAGAACAATTAATTTTATTCCTATTCAAGGTCTTTGCATACAGCCTTAAAAAAAAAAAAAAGTTTGTTTCCTAGCCAAAAAAATAAAAGATTTCAGATAACTAAATTATCTATATTACTAGTTCTGGAACTAATGGTAGCCATTCTGATGACACATGAGAAGAAAACTAAGAACATCAATGCATTAATTTATGCCAATAAGTCTTTATCCAAATAAATCTTCCCCAAACACATGGTGGAAAAAAAAAGAAAAAAGATTAGTAAAGGAAGTATCTCACACTTCAACATGCTATATAAGGAAAGACGGCTGAAAATAAATCTTGCAGGGAATTTCATCCCTTTGAACTTTCAAATAAACTCTTAAGTAAGATTATGCAAACTTACTAAAGACCGGTCCTGATTAGAGGGAAAAAATGCACCCCTTCTCCAAGTCAGTTCTGGAGGCTTTCTCCAGAGTTGTTAAGGTTTGTGTTGGGTAAAGAAAGACCTCCTAACAAACCAGCATTCTTTTCCACATGATCAGAGCTAATTGGCCCCCCTGCAGGCTAAGTGACCAATCACATCAACTTCAGCTGAAACCAGCCCCCACAACATTATAAACACAGGAATGTAAGCTGTGAAATCAGTCCAAGAAGATAACCTACAAACTAGACTTGTAGATTGAAATTATCTGATCAAAAAGGCAGACTCTATAAATTTCCTTAAGACCTACCTTGGCACAAAGGCTGACCCAGCAAAAGAACTGGTGAGTACATGCAATAATATCCACTCTTATTTCTTTCCTTATGGGAAACAGGGAAAGAAATTGACTGGCAAATAGGAACAGAGCTAGATTACTTCCAATAGATTTTTAAAACAAGGACATTATCTATAGGGTAGAATAGTAAGATTTCTATATTCTTTTTCCTTAAATTTTAAAAATGGAATAACAGCCATATTGAATGCATTACTAGATATTTTCTTCTTAACTGTTTTAAGTGTACACTATTTTCTATTATAATATACCAGTAGAGGATAAAGGCCTTAGAAAAAAAAAATTCAGTGGCTTGAGAAAAAGTCTTTTTCTTTTGGAAGGAATTTCAAAAACTCAAAATGAGCATAAAAAAACAAATGCCAAAAGAATAAGCCACTTTGTTTTTATTTCTTTAATCTAAGAAGAAAGTGATGAGTATCCTAATTGTAAGTTTTTAAGCATGGAATTATTGCTGAAATTAGTAGAAACTTCTGCAATTAAGAAAGTAAAATAGAATCTCTGAGCTTATATAATAGGGTTAGAACTCATAGTGTTTGCCCTAATTATGGAGGGCAGGAGAAATCATTATAAGACTTTCAATATCAAGTATTTACACCAGACGTGAACAAATACATAGTAATACCATGTTCATTTAATGTTTGTTAGTTATAGCCTTTATCTTGGCTCCTTAGTATGAACTATACTTTTTGATATCATGGCAACAGAAAAGACATAATTGTAAGTGCTACAACCCAATGAGTAGAATGAATTTTGATGATCAGTTAAGCTGCCTATCATTTTTAAATAGGTACTATTTTTCCTCCAAATAATTTATAAATGGGCAAATATTTTATAGCCCACACATGGCAATAGAAGCAAACCTTCCCAACCTTCCACTCCACTTTCTATTGGGATCAGTTGATGAGACTTAAATATCAGGTAACAATAATATAATTTTTTAAACCATACAAGCAGACATCAAGCTATACAGAAATAAAAGAAATCATATAGGAAACTTGTATCCGTTGTAGGAAGTGGAAATATGTTTGTTTACATAAGTCTGTAGAGCTTTAAGAAATCTTATTACCATAATTCCCTCTTTTTTCACTTTCTTTGTTTTAATCTAAGGATGCCAGGCAAAGGGGATTGAGTGGTTTGCCCAAAATAACACAGCTATGTAACCAACAGTGCCAGAGCCTGAAGGCCATATCCCCTTATCCTGCATTCTCTACACTAAACCACACTGACTGTAGGAGAATAGTTATTCAGGGTAATTGGTTAAGTGGGAATTAGAAATCAATCTTCCTTCTCTATACTACTCCACTTGCCAGCACAATCCAAATCAAATCCAGCAGTCTTAGGTTAAAAAAAAAAAATGCTGCTTAACTATTCTGATTATTAGCCTTTTGACTTCCCTGTTCACAGGTTTTTCCATGTATTTAGTTGCAAGAGAAAAATAAAATAAAATTGTAAAGAGCCTAGAGTAACAGTGCTACAAAAGTTGTAGGTAAGAAGTAACAACAGTCCTGAAAAAGCCCAAATGAGAATGATGAATTTTGTTAGTTATAGTCTACACAGAAACGCTCTCTCTAAGCAAGGAATTTTAGAACTTTCATAAAGTAGGTTGAAAATAAAAAAGAATCATGCAGCTTTATCTTCCTCAAGCTTCTGTGAAACACTAAGCATTTCGCAGCATTCAGTAGGAGAGTAACTCCACATGTGGAACAAGCACCAGTGTCCAGGAGCATGACAGGCATTTTCACACAGACAGGAAGCAACAACAGTGGAGAGTGACAAAGTTGTTCACCCACCATTTTGAAGGCAACCAAATATCCTTTCATTGTTATATCCTTCTTCCAAGTGTCAAAATCTTTTATTATGTCATCATAATTTTATTTATGACAGCATTATACTTCTAAAATTGTCTTCTCATCTGGCAAAATATAAACTTGGCAATGTTATGTCATAACTCTCCTCTCTACATTGCTTTAATTTTACTGATGTGCAAAACACAACTAGACTATCTAATAATTCAGACTGTAATAATCTTCAAGTCTTGAAAGAAGTCTTTCCTCACTGAAAATCTATTTTTAACCTACAAATAATAGGTCTGAACCTAACCAACATTACTGAAAAACAAATATTCTGGAGTGGCTCTTGAACAAAACTAATCAAATGAAACAGTATTATTTACAAAAGCTAAGCAGGGTCAAATGTCTGTTTTGGAGGCAATATGGCACTAACTCTGAACTCAGAATATATGGGATTCATCTCCACCATTTACTACCTCATTTTCCTTCTTTTTTTTTTTTTTTTTTTTTAGAGACAGGGTCTCGCTATGTTGGCCAGATTGGTCTTGAATTCCCGACCTCAAGCAATCCTCCCACCTTAGCCTCCCAAAGTGCTAGCATTACAGGCATGAGCCACCATGCCTGGTTCCTCACTTTCATTATCTGTAAAATGGGACTACCAATGGTACTTATTCTATTACTGTGAAACCTAAGACACGTTTTTTTTTTCTTTAAAGAGAGACAAAGTCTCACTACGTTGCCTAGGCTGGTCTCAAACTCCTGGACTCAAGCAATCCTCCTGTCTTGGTCTCCCAAAGTGCTGCGAGCCAGACACATTTTTAATAACAATAAAGCAACTAATACTTTACTGAGAGCTTACTCTGTGCCAGACACTGGCCACTGGCTTCACATCAGTTTGTACATATGAAGCATTTGGTATGACTCCTGGCACATGCTAAACAATATATATATTAGCTAATATTATTAATCATTACTATCATAAGAATCATGAATAAAGTTAACAATAGTTTAATATAGATACTTGAGACAGTTATAGGGGCAAGAAAGGCATCTACTAAAGGTGCGAGAAATTTGGCTGTCAAAGACTATCTTGAGAATGCAATACCAATCATTTGTGGAAAGACTTATTTCACCAAACGCTTCCTGCAGTTAAAAAAAAAATAACTGGTTTTGAAGTTAGCTAAACTTGAATCATCCAAATAATCCAAAGCTCCAATTTGCCTTGTGTAAATTTCTTTTATCTGTCTGAGCACCAGTGACTTCACCTGAAAATGGGAACAACAGCTATCTAGTTGAGATACCAAAGAATTAAGAGATAATACAGTATGAAAGCAGTTATCACAGTGCTATGAAGATTTTGTTGTTGTTGTTTCCAAAGCATAGAGATCAGGTTAGATTATTTAAAAATAATCCAACAAAATAAGGGTCATTAAGTAGCTATGCCAAGAAAAAATAATACACTAAAAGATTATGACAACTTGTTAGGGTCATAAGCTATAAAACATTAATGCACTAAGACTTTTTAAAGTCTATCATGAAACTGAAATCGCCATCTAATCTAAATAAATAAATCATCCCAGTGTTTCATCAGCTCAAATCTGAAGAAAATACAAGAAAATGTCTCTAGTTAATCACCAATAAATGTTAAGTTACCTCAGAGCAAAAGAAGAAAGTTGTATATACCCAGCTGGCCAATATCCAATTCCAACAACACAGAAAGGCAGCCTCTAAAGCCCCAAAGTCCCTAGATACAGGAACTAGGAAACCCAAGCAACAACCTAGTTCCACACATTTGTAGTGCCCTTCCTAAGCCCCATTAAAAGGCAGGAAGTGGGTATGCAGCACTCTCAAGGGTATCTACCTCTGAAGGAAGAAGCAAAGGAGAGTCAAATATAAACTCATAGTCCTGGATTGTAGCAAAGAAGAGAGGCTCACTCAAGGGAAGCAAAGCTGCATTTCCTGTTCTGTTCCTGATAACTGCTACACTAAAGTCTTAAGACACCTTTCTTATACGCAAGGATGATTACAAGGAAGGCATACGTTAGATTTCTACTCACCACCTTGAGAAAAGGATAACCACTGCTGAAAACTGTTTGCAGCAGAAAATTAATTATACTAATTTTATCTTTTTAAAATCCTTATTTAACCCCTTAATGATTATTTTAGTTCATTAAACTCTTAAAACTTTTTCTTCTGGTTTACTTACCTTTAAAGCTAATGCTATCTAGAAACGTCTACCTGAAATTTCTTATTTTGCCAAGAAAACAATTCTCTTTCTACACCACAATCTAAACAGAGCCTAGAATATGCAAAAAGACAGCAATCTATCATCCAGGACAGAAAGAATCCACGAACATGGTTGCAAAATGACAAAAACAAATAAAGCCTAATCATAAAACTATAAACAAGGCCAGGTGTGGTAGCTCAACCTTGTAAACCCAGCGCTTTGGAAGGCTGAAGTGGGAGGAAGGCTTGAGAACAGGAGTTCAAGATCAGCCTAGGCAATATATTGAGACCCAGTACCAACAAAAATTAAAATTTTAAAAATCAGCCGAGGTTACAGTGAGCTATGATTGTGCCACTGCACTCCAGCCTAGGAGACAGAGCAAGACTCTGCCTCTAAAAATACAAATCAATAAATCAAACTCTGAATAGGCTAATTATAAGGCATACATTAGAACCACAGACCTCTAAATGCTTACCACAAATGCAAGCCTTGTCCTAGCACTAAATCTGGCTTCAAAAGATTTGCAGATAGTTTAAAAATAAGCTTCCAAATGACTTCTAACTATTTACACAGAAGAACACTTACATATTTAAACATACCCCTTTTAATTATGAATAATGCATAATTATAAATTAACTATGAAATGCCAGTCTTTACACATAATATTTGGTCAAATCAATAAATGCCTGACACCTGGACTTGTGCAAGGAGGACACAGGGGTATATAATCTCTACCCACAGGAATTTTAAAATATACTTAGAAAATGTTTAAATGTTAAACAATGTCTTAACAGTCATTCAAAGAAACAATGGAAGAGATATTTTAAGGTAACACACAATTAGCTCCCCAATGAATGACTTAGTAAATGCCCCCTTACATAAAGAGAAAAGCGAGAGAGTTGGCAAAGTTGTGGTTAGAGAAGCACTCCCAAGAAAGCAGAAAGTGCATAAGGTCTCCAAATTCACAAACATTAACTGTAAAACAGTTAAGAGCTTACTAATTTACTCTTGATTTCAGAGAAATACAGCCTGAAATGGACAGCAGTAATTGCAAAGTTATTGCTCCCCTCCTAAGTCAAAGATACCGGAGGATGGTCACCAAGGATGGCCACAGCACACTTCAAATGGATGGCGCTCAAAGAGGTCTTGCATATCTTCGAGATGCTTGGGGAATCCTAATGGACATGCGCTGGCGCTGGATGATGTTGGTCTTTTCTGCTTCTTTTGTTGTCCACTGGCTTGTCTTTGCAGTGCTCTGGTATGTTCTAGCTGAGATGAATGGTGATCTGGAACTAGATCATGATGCCCCACCTGAAAACCACACTATCTGTGTCAAGTATATCACCAGTTTCACAGCTGCATTCTCCTTCTCCCTGGAGACACAACTCACAATTGGTTATGGTACCATGTTCCCCAGTGGTGACTGTCCAAGTGCAATCGCCTTACTTGCCATACAAATGCTCCTAGGCCTCATGCTAGAGGCTTTTATCACAGGTAATTTTGTCTTTGTTCTTAAAAAAAAAAAAAAAAAATACAGGTGTTTGGAAAGGGTATAGTCAGTTATAAGTAATACTGTTACAGAATAATTTATCTATATTAATAGCAGGTAACGTCTAAGATAGAAAAGAAACAGTTTAGAGCCAAAAAAAATAGGAGAAATGCATTAGGAACCTGTCTCAACACCAAAATTTTACTTACTGGAACTACTCAAGAAAAAAGAGATCAGTATGACACTAAACTGCAGAAATATCCTATATAAAAAAAAATTAACAAAAGGTTTAAAAGGTTTTCACTGAAGCTAATCATTTTGTCAAATGAATAAATACATTCAATACATATTTTGACAGTCATTTTACCTAGCACAGGAATTTGTTTTTTTTTCTTCACTGGGCTAGAATTCCCTCCTATGAGTTCATCTTTTCAACATTTACTTCATGCCAGTGAGCCCAGAACACCACAGTCAGCATTATATATTAGAGAACAAGTTACGTACACACATTCTTAGCAAAATGCACTGGAAATATGTCCACAAAGATTATGAAATTTTGCTCATGAACACAGAAAACTCTTTCCTTTAAAGAAGGACTAGTGCCCCTTTTATGTGACATACATACTTTTAAAAGAAAACTTGGCTTTAATATACTATTCAATAATAATCTGAGAAGGTAAGCATTGGGCCATATGCAGAATGATCTGGAATGAAATCCCAATGTGCTACCAACCAGCTCTATAACCCGCAAATCACAAACTTCTACAACAAGAGTTCCTACACTGGGTCAGTTCTTTGGATACAATTAAGGGGGTTTATAAACTTAGATGGGAAAAACTTATATCTCTTGGCACAAACCACTAATTGAAACTTGGCATTTCCTACAGGCAACAAAAAACAGTATCATCAGCAGTATTACTAGCTTTGATTCAAACAGAAATCATAAATATTTTGTCATATCAAACCAGAATACTTCAAAATCACAGTAATAAACCCACCACTAGACTGTTATTTAATGTATCAGTAAGGTACATATGGTACTATAGTATCATTTCTTAAATGTTCAACTGAATTTCAATAATTTGGTTTCTTTTATATTTTAAGCACTTAAAACGTAATTCTGATAAGTACTTACTTCTTAGACCTTACCAACAGCCTGTCAACAAAATCTGTGGCACAAAACTGATTAAGAAACTCTTATCTATAGCTTAGGGTACAAGGAAGATACACCTGAAAGGTGCACTGAAATTACCTGATAGTCAGTCCTCCCTTGCCCCAGAAAAGGTACGTTTCAAAGTTTAAAAATTCTTCAAAGTATCCCTCTTTTTTTTTTTTTCTTTTTTTTTGAGATGGAGTCTTGCTCTGTTGCCCAGGCTGGAGTGCAGTTGTACAGTACAAACTTGGCTCTCTGCAATCTCCTGCCTCAGCCTCCTGAGTAGCTGGATTACAGGCATGCGCCACCAGACCCAGCTAATTTTTCTATTTTTAGTAGAGAGAGGGTTTCATCATGTTGGCCAGGCTAGTCTCAAACTCCTGACCTCAAGTGACCCGCCCACCTCAGCCTCCCAAAGTGCTGGGATTACAGGCGTTAGCCACTGTGCCCAGCCAAAATATCATTCATTCTACTGGTCCCCTCTCCATCCCAAATCATTCTACTCTGAACCTAGTCTCTACTTCAACTTAATCTGGCTGTAGCCAAGTTGCATTTATTTTCTATTACTTTTTCTTAAGCACAGGCAGGAATATAGGAAGTGACCACTTCTTTGACTTGGTAAGACACTAGAGGACGAAGTTTTACATTTCTCTGTAACAAAATCATTCTGCTTATTCATTTTGAAATCATGGTTTTTAAACAGAAATATACTTTGAAAAATGCTTCAGGCAAATAAGACTAACCAAATTAACAATGACTTCAATTCCTGACCCACTGAAAGGCATGACACCAAGAAATGTGTAAATAGTTGATATGCCCTTCTCATTCAGAAAAAGTATTGATGTTTAAAGTCTTCATGCTAAAAAAAATTCAATAATTTCTTATTTAGGTGCCTTTGTGGCGAAGATTGCCCGGCCAAAAAATCGAGCTTTCTCAATTCGCTTTACTGACATGGCAGTAGTAGCTCACATAGATGGCAAACCTAATCTTATCTTCCAAGTGGCCAACACCCGACCTAGCCCTCTAACCAGTGTCCGGGTCTCAGCTGTACTCTATCAGGAAAGAGAAAATGGCAAACTCTACCAGACCAGTGTAGATTTCCACCTTGATGGCATCAGTTCTGAGGAATGTCCATTCTTTATCTTTCCACTAACCTACTATCACTCCATTACACCATCAAGTCCTCTGGCTACTCTGCTCCAGCATGAAAATCCTTCCCACTTTGAATTAGTTGTATTCCTTTCAGCAATGCAGGAGGGCACTGGAGAAATATGCCAAAGGAGGACATCCTACCTACCCTCTGAGATCATGTTACATCACTGTTTTGCATCTCTGTTGACCCGAGGTTCCAAAGGTGAATATCAAATCAAGATGGAGAATTTTGACAAGACTGTCCCTGAATTTCCAACTCCTCTGGTTTCTAAAAGCCCAAACAGGACTGACCTGGATATCCGCATCAATGGACAAAGCATTGACAATTTTCAGATCTCTGAAACAGGACTGACAGAATAAGACTTATCCATTTTTTAATGTATTAAATACACCCAGCCAGTTATGCAGCTACTTTTTCTTCACTGTATCTTATGTTTTCTTTTTTCAATGCTAATTACAGCTCTCTGATTACATCATGGTAATCATGCCTACGCCCACATAAAAATGGCTGAGCTAACAATACACATTCTGGAAATATAACACTCTGTATTACAAAGTTTGTTACCTGCTGAAATCAACGTAACTCAACTTGACAGACACTTATACAGAAATGTTGCTGGTGAATTTATAAGAATGTAGTATGATACTAGTAACGAAGGCAAAATGGACAGTGAAGTTTAACACAACTGAACTCCAAGAAAATCAACCATTAATCTCTCATTTTCATCTGCAAATTGAAGCAACAGTTTAGTTTCAAACCTAGCTCCCTGGGTGGAATGATGACTTCACTATACTTAGTGAATATCCTTTAAAAGCTGGGATTTTTTCAAGACAACAAAGATCGTTCATTTGGTTCTTTATACTATGAAACTTGAGTAAGTATTACCTCCTTAATTTTTAACAACTAAGAACAAAAATTAACGAGAAAAGCAACAAAGTACAGATTTATATATAAACCTAAAAGCATTTCAACATGACACCCAAACACATACATATGTTCATATATTTGTGGCAAAAGGTGATCAGATTAGCTCCAGCCCAAATGGAATCTGCAGGGTGGTATTTTGCATTGCAAGGAGATGCAAAATTTTATTTACTTTAAAACTGTCTTCATAATAATCAAACAGTGATTCATCTAAATGACTTCTAGCAACCTAAGTAAAAACATTCCCCTCCTATGTATGATTGATTTGATCATATAAACACCATGAAGGCTCTAATTCATAAATACAAAAATATATTTAAGTCTTTATAGATATAAAGCTTTACTTAGATATAACTTCAGTGAGTAGGGAAAAAAAATCTACAGTAGATAAAGCAAAAGATAATTAGGCAACAAAGCATTTTCAAACCCAAATTCCTGTTTCCAACTTCAAATAGTTTTTTCTATAAACACAAAATGAGTGTTTACTCATCAGTAGGAGGTTGGACTAGATGAACTCTATTATTTCTTTCTAAATCTAATAATCCATAAAAATTATGCTTCCTGTTTCATTTTTTATTTTATCTATGCTAAAACGAGCCCTTTCCCTTATGTCCAGTTTAAAATGATCATTTGCATGATTTTCATTTCAATAAAAAAACCAGAAACTGTCCTTAAACAAAACAAAAACCAAAAGTCACCCTATCAGGTTTCAAACAGATTTGTGGCTGTTCTTTTCTGAAATTTCCCTTATTCAGGTTTCTGTGGGAAAAATGAAAGATTAACCTTCCCCACTGGTGATGACCTAGGCAGGAATCATCTCTTGAAATAAATACTAGCTGAGTAAAGGCAAGCAGGTGTGAAGAGCAGGGCTCAGCAGCAAGTCACATTTTTCTACTATTTGACCGAAAGGAAAAGAAAATAAAGAAGAACTCTGGAGTGGTCTAAGACTGATAATAGCAGAAGAATATCAAGAACACAGAAACTTAATTATTGTGAACTTTTGCTGTTTGAAAATCTTAGACATTCATTCTTAAGTAGAAATCAGACCAACAGATTTTCCCAACCCAAGACTACGGTAACATATAAAGACAGCAAGAATTCTTATTTCTATAATAAATTAACAAGATTCACCTAATCTGTGAAAATAAAGTAGTATTGAAGACTTACATGGTATGTTTTTTCCTAAAGGGACTACATTAATTACACAGATCACACTCTCGCTAGTTAAGTGAAGCTGCCCAGGGTGACATAAGTGAATAAGTAAAACCTGGGATCTAAGGTTCCATTCAAGTCAAATGAGTTTCGTATTATACTTAGTGTTTACACATAAATTTGGCATTTGAAAGCTAAATATGACTTCCCCTACACATGCCAAAAAAAAAAACTATTGGTAAACTACTGTTATTTAATAAACATTTTATAAATCTATAAGAAACACGATCCAAAACTTTTTTGCAGGAGATAGAAAGCTTCTGGGAGGACTGTTCGTTGTTTCTTTCACTTATTTCAAATCATAGTTTCTAGGTTAAGGATTAGGTTTTCTATAGAAAGACCATTATCCTCTGAGGAAAATGAAGTAAAAGGAAAAAGGCGGGAAATTACTGGGAGGTAGGAATGGCTGCTCTGTCTTCCCGGATGTGCAGCTCACTAACCTGGATCATCTGGGAGCTTGGTCATGGAGTCTTGCATACATCATCAGGAAGACCACTTTGGAACTAACGTTAAACGTTCCTTTGGAAACTGATAAAGATAGCATGACAATTCCAACAAACTGGAGACATGTAGTTACCAAAAATCTTAGGGGCCTAGTTTTATGTATGTACAAGCCCATACTACCAAGTACCAGAAGAGTCTATAACCAAAAACTGCTATGTCTATTAACAAGTATTTCATACCAAAATACACTAATTCGTATTACACTGGGCTGAGTGTACTGACATCATCTGGATTATTTTTTAATAATCCTTTTATTTCACCCTTACATTATTATACCACAAGATGAGCACCAGAACTGATCTCCCCCTGTGCACAATCAATTCCTACTGAATAGGAATTCTAACTCTAGTATCAAAGACCTTTTTTCACCTTCACATTCTCCTACAGTTGTTCACAGGGATTATGTAAGCTTCTTACCCAGATGTCTGTAATTCTATCCATTTCTCTTTTCATAAGAAGCAAATACATGGTAAGCATCATTCCTAATTTTAAAAAGATTAGATCATCCTGGAACCTTCAGTACTCGAACTGTCTCAATGTGATGTCGTCAGACATCTCACAATATACTCATATTGATCTCACACTGATCAACATATCAGTGTGTCTGAACAAACTAGTTTAGTATTGCTACTCTTGGAGAGTGTAAGATATAATTATGAACAATGTTTTATAAAGATCTACATTATCGTCAACAAAAGTGGATTACTTCCAAAAACTAAAAGCTCAGAATTTTTAGCACAGTTAACCTGAAGTGAGCATCTTTTCAAAAAGCATTCAAAGTCACGATGACATATTAGAATATATATGCATGTGGAAATTACCATATTTTAGTATACTAGCAGTTATAATACATAACAGTAGATACTAACTAGAAGTTAGTATCCTTAATATTCAGAGATACTTTATGTCAGTTTAGTTTTATGGAACCTGCCTTTTCAAATATATACCAATGGGATGTAAAGAAAAGAACCTTTACCTTTAATAGAGGGTGGCTAAGAAAGTTACCCTCATTGGATTAATGTAGTTAAAATATGAAAACCACAAATAACGATGACTAAACTTGAACATTCCAAACCACCAAAGTGTGAATATGTGTGAATAGTTAAAATCAGGCTATTCTTATTCTAGCAACTCTCTACTTTCCCAAGGCAACCCAGGCCATTTTCAGACAACTCTAATTATTAGATCTTTTAAGATTGTGTCCAATATCTGCCTCCTTGAACCTTCCAACAGTCAGCCTCTTTCTGCCCTTTAGACTCTTACAGATCAAGTCTAAGTCCTCACTCACATGATCATGATTAGTAAGCAGGTATTGATAGACAGTGACCCTATAAGCCCTCCTCCCCACTCTGCCCCGTCCACAATGTTGTCTCCTATCTAAACAGCTCCATTTTCTTCACACAGCTCCCATCACAAGGCTTCAAATGCCCCAGCCATCCTACTCCAATGTGTGGACCCTTTCAAGGTGTGGTCCCAGAAGTGAACACAATGCTTAGGCTTGCCTTGACAACATAAAAGACAATGGGCCTATCATCTGACTCACTGAGGACACTTTAGGAAATACTGCCCATGGCTGAGAGGACATCAGCACACCGCTGATGAACATGAAGCCCAGAGTCACTGAGACGGTTGTAATCTTTCCACAGGAGGCTGCTTTTACATGCAGCCACTCCTTAAATTCTGTAATTTCCTTATATAAGACTTTTCATTTCTGCTGTTAAAACTCCCCATTTGATTACATTTGGTCTCCTGATTCACCTTGATTCTGATCCCATGTCTTTACTGTTCCACTCCATAGCTATCCCTTACAATACTGAATGATTAGAAAATCTGATCAGCACATCACAATATCCTCTAAAGAAATATTTTATACCTAGCACATAAGTGGGAATTCAGTATTTGTTGAATGAATGAGTTCATATGCTCTTATTTACAGTAATCCCACCTTATCCACAGTTTTGCTTTACAGTTTCAGTTAACTACGGTCAATCGTGATCCAAAAATATTATAGTACTTTGAGAAAGAGATAGAGACTACGTTCACATACCCTTTTTTTTTTTTTTTTTTTTTTTGGAGACAGAGTCTTGCTTTGTCAGCCATGCTGGAGTGCAGTGGCACAATCTCAGCTCACTGCAGCCTCCACCTCCCGGGTTCAAGCGACTCCCCTGCCTCACCCTCCCTCAGTAGCTGGGATTACAGGTGCTCACCACCACGCCTGGCTAATTTTTTAAATATTTTTAGAAGAGTCAGGGTTTCACCATGTTGGCCAACCTGGTCTCAAACTCCTGATCTCAAGTGATCCGCCCACCTCAGCCTCCCAAAGTTCTGGGACTACAGGTGTGAGCCACTGTGCCTGGCTTCACATAACTTTTATTACAGTATAATTGTTCTATTTTATTAGTTATTACTGTTAATCTCTTACTGTGCCTAATTTATAAATTAAACTTTATCATAGGCATACATGTATAGAAAAACAGTATTTATGGGATTCAGTACTATCTGTGGTTTCAGGGGTTTCAGGTATCCCTGAAAATTTCAAGACACTGGGGGTCTTGAAATGTATCTCCCACAAATAAAGTGGGAGAACTACTATAATCCTAAAAATTCTGTAAGGCATTATCACTCATTTTATTACAAGACTAATGAGATCTGAGAGCTTAGAATAACCATGATCTTCTGATTCCAAATCCTGTACTCTTTAAACTACTGCTCATCCCCTCTACATATTCATGGCAAAAGTACTGAATCAGACAAGGATGGGAGCACAGGTCTTGACAAGCACCCCATGATTATGTTAACCCAATAGTCTACAAAACGGTTAAAGCTAACAATAAACTATCCACCTAGTCTGTTCCAAATTTCTTCATGCTATACACCTTTAATTTTTTTTTTTTTTTTGGACAGGATTTCACTCTGCCACCTGGCCTACAGAGTGCAATGGTGTGATCACGGCTCATTGCAGCCTCAACCTCTTGGACTCAAGCTATCCTCTCATCCCATGATGGCCTCCCAAGCAGCTGGGACTACAGGCACACGCCACCATGCATGTCTAATTTTTGTACTTTTTTGTAGAGACAGGGTTTCACCATGTAGCCCAGGCTGTCCAGCCGTGGCCTCCCAAAGCACTGGGATTACAAGCATGAGCTACCACACTGGGCCTTAATGGTTTTCATTAATGTAAATACAACTATGTATTCCCAATGCCACATTCATAAATGAGAAATTTTAATTACTGATATCTTTAAGTTTTTAACAGAAACAGTGATACAAAGCTGTTATAATTACTTAGTTTTTAAAACAATCTGCAAATCAGTCTGTGAACGGTATTTACATATTTAACATATGTTTACAAGAAATATTTACCACTGCCTGGGCACGATGGTTCATGCCTGTAATCCCAGCATTTTTGGAGGCTGAGGCAGGTGGATCGTGAGGTCAGGAGTTCAAGACCAGCCTGGCCAACATAGTGAAACCCCACCTCTACTAAAAATACAAAAATTAGCCAGGTGTGGTGGCACGCACCTGTAGTCCCAACTACTCAGGAGGCTGAGGCAGGAGAACCACCTGAACCCGGGAGGCAGAGGCTGCAGTGAGCCGAGACCACACCATTGCACTCCAACCTGGGCGACAGAGTCTCCAGCCTTTGAGACTCTGCTCCAAAAACAAAACAAAACAAAACAAAAAAACCACAAACAAGAAATGATTACTATTATCAGTTATAATCATGCTCTGGAGAACTTTTTTAGCACTTGCAGGATTTGGAACTTGTAATGATAATTTTCATAGTACCAATTCATGGTATTACGAATTGGCATTATTTTCTCTCAGATGTTAACACCTACTGGTAGTTTGTAAGGTAGTACCTTTAATCAGTTAGGTAGCTCATCTTAACAGTATAAATTCTTTAAATATAAATTACATATTTAAATACAAATTTAAATATAAATTATGATTAATTCATCATAAACAATGAAATCCTGTTCCTTTATTATGTTCCTCTTCAGTGGTTACCTTAACTGTAATTTATCTGAGTTAATTTTTTTTGTTCTCATCACAAAACAAGAAAAAAAAAGGACTATACAGCAAAAAGTCCAGATGAATAAATTAGTAAATTAAGAACATTCATAGTTTTGGCCTTTGTTCTCTGATACAAAAGCAAAGATTTTAGCATTTGCCCCATTTCTTCTCATCTGTGAGATGCTATCGACACTAGAAAAAGAGTTAGTAGATTGTTTCCTAACTTGAGTCTTTAGTTCACAAACTGGCCTTAATAAAGAATATATGCCTTGCAAAGAACACACAGACCAAGTAAGTCAAGTAAATCCTAATGGCTGTATTCATCTCTGGTTTCATGCAGCAGAGACTTCAAATAACCATGGAAGTTTAAATGCAGGAAATGCTGCAGCCCCATCTACTGGAGAGGTGCAGGTAACTGAGTCCATTTTTAATAAATTTATCCTTATGTGTGTAGGTAAGAACCTTACCTACATCTTTTCGTCCTGGTTTTTCAAAACGTCTGTCACCCCTGGAAAATAAAAAATAAGTTTCAAACAAAGTCTCACAGTGATATAGATTTCCTATCTGTGACACTCACTTTCCCACTTTTCTAAAAGCATTTCTTCTTCAAATTACAAAACAAATAAATACATAGTTATTGCCTAATATTTGGAAAATACAGAAAAGCACAAAGATAAAAAGAAAAATATCTATCCCCTCACCTACCAAAAGCTGTTTCTATTGACCCAAAATATTTTTTTATTAGATACATAGTATACAGTTTTAGATACTGCTCTTAGAATGTCTTTTCCCACATCATTAAATATTTTCAAAAACACCTCTAATGCTCATATAATATCCTACTTTGTGGATATACAACTATATAAGGGCAATATCAATATGTTTGGCTTATTTCCAATTATTTTATATTATAAATATCATCACAATGAACATTCTTGTACATGCATCTTTGTGCAATTGCTCCCACTCATCTTGATAGACTTCATATAAAGTCACAAACAATACAGAGAGAAGATACTTTTACTAATACCAACAAACAATAACATGACAATTTAGTATTTGCTATCAAATACCAAATCAAATTAACTATGCTGGCATTCATGTATTAACCTATCCA